GCTCGTATTCGAGCCGCTCGCAATCTAGCCAAAACATGTAAAGAACTAAATAGAAACAGAGGCATTTCTAAAAGAAAATTTTGACGCCGGTGGTGAAAGTTTTGGCCCACAGTTGGGCTTTGGACAGGATTTGGTATTTTGGCGTCGGGGAGTTGAGTTCTTAAACTCCGACGGAGAGGTTGGGTTTATTTGGATCATGGTGTAAGCTCTGGGTAGATTAGCCCAAAAATTCTTTGGGCATGTACCGAGATCAAGAGGCCATCATTTAAGTAGGCGATTTAGGCTTTCGGCTGATTCAGTGCCCGTTATCATTTGGGTACCTTTTTAACTTTGGAGCTAAATAAGGCAAGTTTACTGATTACTCCAATGTTTCGTTAATGACGCTCTTATTCCTTCATATTCTTTTGTAAAAAATAGATGGCGTGTCATTAACAATAAATAGGTGCTAATATAAAAAATGTTACACTAACTAAATATGGTCATCACAACAATTAGTAATGTATAAAAAAAATCTCGCAAAATGGAATAGAAGACAAGATTTGAGTTTTATTTAGCTTCAAAAAAAAAAAAAAAAAAAATAGGTGCTCGATGAGCTTGAACTCGTACTCAAATACTTCTATTTGTTAGTCGAGTCGAACTCTAGTATCCTACTCGAATTCAACTTGACTCGATTATAGCCGTACCCTGCTTCAGTTGATTTTGTTTGGTTTGGTCCAATTATTGTAATTCTTAGGACTTTAAACATAAAATTGTACATCTTTGGTGTGATCGTGAATTAGATGTACGAGTTAACAAAAATTTATGTTTACACCAAAATCGTACCATTTTGCACCAAATGTTGTAAGAATTATATAATTGGACAAAACTAGATAGAAGTTCAAATGGAGAAGCCTTGAACCAGATTCTCCTATAGTGAAACCAGATAAAAGTTCAATTAAAAGTTTCTTTCAACTATATAATATCCTCTGTCTTTCAACTATATTAATAAATAGCAGGTTATTGTTTAGGGATACAACTGTAAAATAATAAATCCTTTTATTAGACGAGAATTCAGAGGGAAACTTTCCAAAAGTCTATTTTAATTTGCTCCCTTGAGATAGAAGTAGCTTTGTCAAATAGTTCCTTACTGTTCATGGATTGTATTGTAAATTCGGTATATATTTCTAATTTGATTTCCTTTCAGCGCATTTGTTTTAGTGCAATGATTAGAACTATATAATATTCATAAGTCAAGCAATACCATTTTCTTTTAGTTTTCTACATTTTTTTTTCTATTTTCTGAGCCCTGATTATCTTTCTTTGATTTCCTTGATGTTGGGGGTTGCATCCCAAATTTCAGTTCAATAAAAAGGATAGAACCAGTTGTCCAGTACACTTCAAAAACCATTCGAACAGTTCAATAATTTTGGTGTTAGTTTGATTAACTAAAGCATTAGTTCTAGTTCCAGGTTAAGCTTTAGGTGACGAGGTCCCTTCAATTAATACAATTACAATTTCTTAATGTGTAGATAGAGGTGACCTCATGATGATGAGTAATGGAATTTAGGAGGCTAGGAGTGTAGGGTGTGAAAAAATATTCCATATGTCTTCTAAACTTTCTCTAATTATATTTTGTATGTATTTAGGGACCAAATTGACATTTGTTTAGAGGTTGTAAATGAATCTTAAATTTGGTTGTGGACTATAGACTATGAATAGCAAAGTCATATTTCATTCAACGTAATTTTCTCAAAATGCACTTCAATCATTTTAATATTAGTAAGTCAAATATGTTATACAGATGGGTTTTACCTAACACTCAGTCACTATTGAGATTTTTGAAACATTTATAGATGCAGGACACTAACATAATATTAATATTTGCAATATAATAACTAATAAATACTTATTTTATTACCAACAAATTAACAGAATTGGAAGGGGAAAAAAATTAGGTTATAAGCAACATTTTAAAAAGTTTCAAAGTACAATATCAACTACTTTGGCTATCTGCATATAATAAAGTAATCTTGATAATCTCTCTACTAGTTAATTCTCTGATTGCCATTGACCTAACTTCCATGACTTTATCTAATTAAATGGCAATGTGTTTAAGAAGCAAAATTTAGATCAAGTTACGGGGCAACGGCTATGCATAACAGAGCCAGCCTCTCCTAAAGTAGGGTTGTAATCGAGTCGAGTCGAGCTCGAGTATCGCCATACTCGAGCTCAACTCGACATACAGTTAGGAGTGCTCGAGCTCGAGCGAGTAGTATTATTGGAGCTCGAGCTCGAGCTCGAAGCTTGCTCGCAGTACTCGAGCTCGACTCGCATGGGCTTGAGTCCATTCGAGCCTTATCTAGTTCGCTCGAGCTCGTTCGAGCTCGAGTTATTAAATTTTATTTTCTTAATATTTTTTAAGCAAAAAGACATTATTGCCCTTTTAAAATTTTTATATGACTTGAAACATTTCGTAAATTCGATAATTCTTTTGGATATAAGGGTAATTTTATAATAATAATATATTAAATAATTAAAATTAAAAATATTGAATAATTAAAATTAAAAATATTAAATAATTAAAATTAAAATGCTCGATAAGGCTCGTCAACCCTTCGAGCATCGCTTCTGGATGCTCGAACTCGACTCGACAGCCTTATCGAGCTACTCGAACTCGGTCAAGCCTTTGAGCATCGCTTCTGGATGCTCGAACTCGACTCGACAGCCTTATCGAGCTGCTCGAACTCGACTCAAATTCGGTTTGACCGAGTTCGAGTCAAACTTTTGACCGAGCTCGCGAGCAGCTCGGTTCGATTACATCCCTACCCTAAAGGCACATGTGATGCGACGAGTGGTGTGTAATTCAAAAACTCATTTTTGCGAATCAATTTTATATAAAATTTTCATTACTAAAGCAAATTGTGGTATTTTAACTTTTTTTTTTATCAAAGAAAGGCTGCTTTAGTAGTTATAATACTTAGAGTCAGTCATTTTTTCAACATGGGTTTAGATGAGTTATGGTTAAAAATAGTTATAGACAGTTATTTTAGCAATTTATGTAAATAATAAATGATTTTCAATTCATGAGAATAAAATTGGAAAATATATAAAGTGATAAAAAATGTTTACCCAGACCCCATCTCTCCCTGCCCTTTATATATATATACTAGGGGACTGGCCTGCGCAATGCGCGGGCGCTGGGTGGGAGAGTATAATGTTGGTGGAATTATTTGAATAAAATGGTTTGATTTAGATGGATAGAAGATTAATAGTTAATAATTTGTACGTGGAGGGGGGGATTATTAATGCTTAATTTGTATGTGTATATATTGGTATTAGTATATATTATGAATTAATATTGTGTATTTGTGAATTATCAAATTATAAGTAAATTACTATTATATATATTAGTATTATATATATTAGTATTACTATGTATTACTATTTATATTACATATAGTTTCAATTATTATATTTTTAGGCGCTGGATGGGAGAGTATAATGCTGGTGGAATTATTTGAATAAAATGGTTTGATTTAGATGGATGGAAGATTAATAGTTAATTATTTGTACGTGGAGGGGGGTTATTAATGCTTAATTTGTATGTGTATATATTGGTATTAGTATAAATTATGAATTAATATTGTGTATTTGTGAATTATTAAATTATAAGTAAATTACTATTATATATATTAGTATTAGTATATATTAGTATTACTATTTATATTATATATAGTTTCAATTATTATATCTTTATTACATTTATTGAATTTATTAACCAATGGTGGTATGTTAAATTTTATTACCGTAAAATGGCATAGATGTATCAGAATGTTCATCTCTGTTCACGGTGTTAGAATATATCTGGTGTTGACATTTGCGTGGCAGCTAGTTGTTTGCGTGTGCAGGTGGTGTGAGACGTGAAATTTAGGGGCTGAAAACAAGGTAAAAAGTACAGAAAATTCATGGGTTTGTAGTACTCTTTCTTGCTTAAGTAGTTGGAGCTTATATAGTGTGAAGTAGTATATTTAGTACTTGTCTGTAGATAGTTAGTGTGCGCAGATGGCGAGTGGAAGCGCAAGATTTCCTACTGTTCAATTATATTATCAGAGTGACCAGTGAACAATTCCACAAGAATATCTGGTAATTTATTTTCATGTAGAACTACTTGTCCATCAGAGCAACAGAAATTAGGTGTCTCAGAGTGCAGTTTTTTTGCTCCACAGTATTGGCAATCAGCTTTTGAAGGTAATCTATCTGCTTGACCATTAATAAATTGGAGTGCATGAACTCCATCAACAGCTTGGTTACCTATAGAATTACCAATTAGTTTAGGTAAAGTAAAGGTTGGAAGTGAAAATAAGGGAGTAGAAGAGGAACGATCAGTGGTTTGTAATGTGTACCTCTGTTTTTTTTCTTTTTGTTATTAACAACTTTCACTTGTTTGGCTGATTAATGGCTTTTCCTTGAATGATTCAAGTATATATAATTAGAAGCAGAAACCATAAGCTTTATATACGTACTGTTACCAATATGATCAAGCTATTTGCATGAACAGAAGTGGTTTGAGGTTATATAATGGAAGTGTTAGTTAGACATGTGAAGCTGATGTTATCAACTAGTCAGAGAATGTAGTATTGGGGGAATAGATTGTATGAGGGTAGAAGAACAATATTTAAAATGATTAGGATTTATGGTTATGATGTGATAAAAGAACTATGGTCAGAAATAAGCAATTTCTAGGTACACAACAAAATTGAGAATAAAATGACAATCTTATGATAATTGTCAAATAGCTGATATGCTGATATCAGTTGTTCTATGCCCAAGGTAATAAATTCACATCAAAGCTAGTAACCTGCATTTCTCCTTCTTCTAGCAGAACGATTATGAGGAACTTCATACACCTCGTATGTTGGAAGGATAGCTGACAAATCTATTGGAGATAAAGTTCATGAAATTGTTAGACACAATAAGATCAGGAGTTTTTTGAAAAAGTTGAAAAAAGATTTATGACCTGAAGTTTCTTCAGCTATTTCTGTCAGGAATTTGTAGCAGTTCATGCATATGAATGATTTATCTGAAAAGCAAAGAAGAATATTAATATAGTTGATGGTGATGATGTTGATAGTTATATATTATGAACAAGAATCAATGATCAACTTTGAAGCTTAAATCACCTGCATTTTGTATCATGTCAATAGCTACACATGTGTGTTGTGTAACAGAGTTAGAAGAAGATCCTGTGTATAAAAATTAGGGGTGGACCATTGTATCAATAGAATAGAGTTTATAATTTGAGTAGGAGGGATATATTAAAAACAAAGCAGACCATGTACCTTTCTCATAGCTTGAGAATGAAGAAATCGGTTGCTTTAATTTTTTACCCAACTTAGCACAAGATAATTGAGTATTGTTGTTTGAAGAGGGAGAAATTCGAATACCAGCTTTTGAGGCACCTATTACAATAAATAGAGTTGAAACTGGTGATATGAATATTATAAAAAAGCAAATGGAATTGAAATAGGATAAGAAACAGTGGAGAGTCTAAATGACTATAATGTAGCAGGAAACACAGATATATACACAACTAAGCTTCGCTGAATTTATTGATTCATGATACATAGAATTGGTACCTATAAAGTGTTTTGTAAAATGAGAGCATGAGACTTCGTTCCATGAATGAGCTGAAGGTCATCCAGTAAAATTTTCAGTTCACTATACATAAAGCTAGTGGTTAAATTGTAAGAAAAGTTGGTAAATACTGTGACTAACCTTGATTACAACCAATAATTCCATGAACATTGTGGTTGTGTTTGGAAATTTGAGAAGCAATGGGCTGGCTGAGTTTATCATTGAAACCTAACCATGAACAAAGTAAAAGAAATAGACAGGTTATCGTGAACATACTATGGGCATACAGATTATCAGAATATAATAAGAGTTTTTGAATCACTATGTACCATGAGAACATTGTTGACCAGGAAGGCTATGTATAACAGATGTAGAAGCTGGTGATTTACAAGCCTCTTCAAATTGTTGTGGGAAGGACTTGGAAACTATTTTTTCCAATTTTTTCCTGTGATAAGCTTCTCTGCTCTTTTTCCGCTGAGCTTCTCTCTCTTCGACAGATAGAGCAGCAAATTTTCTCTCTTTTTACGATTGCGCTCGTCCCTTTTCTCACGAAGTTTATCAGGATCATCCTTTACGCTTAGTTTGGAGTAGCTCATATTTTTTATAAGCGTTGACGAAGGGAGAAACAAAGATAGACAGAGGAAAATCTAGGCGTATGCACAGATATATACTGTTTGTACATATATCCTTAGATAGGTATATGTGGTGATGCGTAACGAACAAACTACTCAGCTAAAAAGCATGGAGGGTATGAATACAGATAGAGTAAGCTATGAACTAAATATATTAATAGAAAAGAGAAAAGGAGTTAAACCAAGCAAAAAGAGTAGAACACCTCCATGGACATAGCAGACGAAGCTGATCAAAGTACCTCTGCTACTGCGTATTATAAGAAACTTCCATCACCTGAGTACAGATTGGGATAAAAGAAATTTCTAGTAGCATGAAACAACTGAATAGCTCATCTGAAGTAAGTTTGGATGAGCATAAGAAAATACCTGATCTGAAGCTAGTTGTATGAAGCAAGCTGTAAGATGTAAAATGCACTGTAATTTGCATGTAAACTGGTTCTGTTAATGTAGGAAATTGTTTGCATGCAATTTGTGTTAGCTATGTATATTGATCGTTGATGAGTAAAAAACAACAAATATGGAAAACCGAGACCAACGAAGTAGAAATGACAAATATAGCCGAGCTTAAGAAGAAATCGGTCCACAAAATAAGCATCTAAATGGCCAAAAGAGTAAAAAATAGAAGGTAGTAGCAGACAAGTGATTTAACCCCTATGGCACATGATTGAACTCTTTGGTCAAAATTGAAGAGTAAAGTATATCTCATGTTTATCAGATATCTATATAAAAAAATTTATAAAAAATATATATATCTAAATCTATATATTATCACTTAATAAATATACATGGTTATATATTTAAATATTTAAATATATAAATATAACTTTATGTAGATCCTTATATTAGAATTTATATATTAGAATTATATATAACATCAAGGCAATTCATGAATCTTTTTTTTAGATCCGAATTCAATAATTTGGAAACATATCTAAATGTATATAGTATGACTTACACACAATTATATATATCAAAAATTTATCTAGTATTTCTTTAAATCAATCAATTTATGCATTTTTTTTAACAAATATATACATCCTTATCCTTATTATTATAGTAGGAAAAACCACATGAAGGCAATTAGTGAACTTTTTTTGAGATTCAAATTTGATAATTTGATTAAATTCTTGGTTGAATAAATATACATCATTATCCTTATTATATTTTAGAAATTACATAAACGCAATTTTCAAGTACGAAGGAAGAATTTTTACAAGTTTCAGTTTCTAAAAATTGATTATATATCATTTAAGTAAAGTTACTTTAAACACTATAACATATGATTAAACTGCTTGATGAAAATTCAAGAATAAAGTATATTTTATGTTTATTACATACAAACGTATATAAAAATATATTTCTAAATCTATACACTATCACTCACATACATTTATATATCACATACATACATTTATATATCAGAAATCTATCTAATATTTCTGTAAATCTATGGACTCCAATTATTATATTCATCACCATTCTTGGAATTTTTTCCACATTGCAGAAATTAAGCATTTTGATTAAATTGCTGAATATTTTTCCACATGCACACAACTATGGAATTTTTTCACATTCCATATTCTAAACATTGATTATCATTTAAGTGAAGTTAATCATAATATAATCATTTATAAGTGGAGTTAATTATTTAATCTGAAGAGAAAAAACTTTTTTTTCTTGTCCATCCACACAGCTGTCAGAACCTATGAAAGCCAGCTGCACAACCATCAGCCGAATGTACAAATTACAGCAGTGGGACCACTCAATGTACAATAGCATGGACCAGGCGCATTGAGTCCACCAAGAGTCGCAGCAACAACGTACAAACCAGCAACACTCGCATCAAGTGGTTACCTCCAACGTACAAACCAGCAGCCCAACTTACAACAGCCTAAAACAGGCAGATGCACTCGAAATTCCAGCAACAGTAGAAGGGCCAAGTGCTTCTTATAAATACTAGGTGCGTTTTCCCGCGCGAGGCGCGAGCGCCAATTTAGTGTAATTCAATACTGCTTAGTCTTAGCATTTAAAATCTATGGCTTTTTAAACTGTATTACCAGTGTCTAAAATGTATCCTGTTATACTTATGCAGTGATATTATTTATTTAATTATTGTGTTAAATTTTTTGGTCTATTTATTGTTTATTGTTGGTATTTTTTTGGGGTTGTATTTAATTTTTTTTTTTGGTTTTTTTTTCCTGGTTGCAGTTGTTGTATTTAATTTCATTAGTATTTTTTTGTTGTCTTTACTAAGTAATAGTAGTTGTTTTCATTCATATGTAGGAGACACCATTCTTTAATTTTGATGCAGCGTCAGGTATAGGAACCTCATTGTCTACCAAGTAGACAGACAGAAATACAGAGTTGAGGACAGCAACCGAAAATAAACAAACAATTGTGCCAGTTCCTTATAGTAGTAAGTATAACCATTAGGCATGTACCATAATCATGTATAGTGGCATAGGAAAGCGGCGAAATGTGCGAATCTCGAAGATGATTTTGATGTGCATGGAAGGCAGGAGGGACGGAGCACATTTGAAGCCAAGTAACTGAGATCCGGCATCAAGAGATTGCAAGACAAACAGGCAGATAAATGTTGGAAAGCTTAGAAAAGAAATCTGTAATAAAATAATGACAAATAGTAATATTTTATTTAACTTTACCATTGTCATATTGACGGTTGCATGCAGATAGTTGAGGATTAGAAGAGGTAGCTGTGTTGACACAGCCATCAGCTCTCTGAGCAAGTGTATTTGCATGAAGTTTTGCAGCTGCAATACACGGTAGACAAAGAGTCAGGCTGCATACAACAATATCAAAAAAAACGATGAATAAATGAGAAAGCTTACGGATAAACGAGAAAGCAAAAATTGTGCAATGGATACGTACCATCAGCACAATTGTTAGAAGTAGCTGGTGTAACAGAGCCTGAAGTATCTGATAGTTTGGAAATCTGCTGAGATTGTTCACCAACTGGCTTGGACAAAAGTTTGGTTAAATTTTTTCTGTGATACGCATCTCTACTTTTCCTTCGATGAGCCTCTTTTCCTTCGAAAGAGCAGCAAATTTTTCTCTCTTTTTTCTATTCCTCTCATTTTTTTTCTCACGAACATTCAGAGCATTGTCAGGTCGATATAACTTAGAGGAACTCATGTTGTCCGTATTACAATCGAGGAGATTTGTTTTAACATAATTACACAGTGAATAAAACAGAAGCTTCTTAAGCGTAATAATAAGGAAAAAAGACTGGTAGGAACAACAGGAAAGACGATAGAGACAAACTATGAACAAACAGGCAAGTTAATAAACCTAGCTAGCAAAACAATACCTCCATTGATGGCTAAGGCAGAAAGCAGTGCAGCAACTTTGTTGGAAACCTGAACAAAAGATGTTAAGGCAGTAAGCATAGAATTTCTGATAAACAAAGAAACCAGGGAGACCGAAATTCAGAATCAGATGATAACAGAGGAAGGAAAAGATTTCCATCGAATATCAAATATCAGATAATATAAAAATACCTTGTGTATGAGTTTCTGGATTCACAACAATTGAGAAGAAGCTTTACATGCAACTGAGAAGTGAAGTACACAGTCGATTTTGCATGAAGACTGTTTGCATCTTATAAGCAATCAAAGAAACACAAAATTACAAATATAACCAAGCGGTGGCATGCAGTGGCGCACAAAAGAGATATCTTCCGGAACAATTTGGTCAACAACAAAGGTTAATGGCCGACAATTAATAAAAGTTGGCCATCAATTGTAAGCAAGGGTTGGCCGATAAATGACACGTATCTTTTGAGATGATGACAAGGAAGCCGCGCACTTACCTAAATTTTAGGATAAAAAAGTATGAAGAAAATAAAATATAAAGGATTAGGAGAAAATGGAATTGAATTGTTTTACCTTCCATATATATCTCTATTTTATATACATCTACGTACTTATTTAATATTTAGTGAAACAATAATTGAATTTTAGTTAAATTGTAGTTAAATTTTATATATAAAAAAATAATATAAAGGATTAGGGGAACATGTGATTGAATTGTTTCATCTTACATATATCTCTATTTTATGCATATATATATATATATATATATATATATATATGAATTGTTTCGTATCACATATATCTCTATTTTATAAAGATATATACATAGATATATCTGAATCTTGCACATAGCCTTTAAATTTTGCAGGGCATAATACCGGGAAAAAAGATATATTTACATCTTATATTTTACACATATATAATAAAAGTATATATATCTAAATCTTGCACATATTATTATTTTACATATTATATATATATCTGAATCTTGAACATAACCTTTAAATTTTGCAGGCCATAATATCATAAAAAATCATCAAAAAAAAAAGATATCTAGCACACACACACATATATATATATATCCTTACATATATCAAAAATAGCTTCAGCATACAGAATGGCTCTGTATATGTCTCTCTCAATTTCTTAAGAGTCCGGGCCCATAAGTGCCAGGAGCACAAAGCACAATTGATTGGCAGCAATTAATGTCCACTGCAGTTGAACGCCGACCTCAAGGTACAAGAACTTTAGCAAGCGTTTCAACACTCAAAAGTACAACACATGGAAGCAAAGTTGCACTTGAAAATAGCTCCACCGTAGAAACACAAAGTGCTTCTTATGTATATGTAAGGAGATATAGGATATAGTACTAGTATAGGTAGTAATAGTACTATTGCACACCGCTTGTCTTGCACTATATTTTTACCTTCTTTCAGAAAGGACTTGCAAATCCAGCTACATGGTGCATGTCGGTTTTCATTTGCTTGCCTTTACTGCTTCTTTGTTTTTTATCCTAGTTACTGTAAGGTATGGAAGTTGCATGTGGAGACTGGAGATACGCTACTTAATGGTTATTAGCTGGTTGGACTACCTTTGTTTATTCACTACCTTATTAGAGTTGGGAATCTGACGGTGGATTACCAGTAGATTAGGCCAATCAAGGTTTTTTATTTCAAAAGCACAAGCATCAAATCAACCTTTTGTTTTTTTTTTCCCCCTTATTTTGGGGCAAACATGCATGCATAAAGAAACTTAAACTGCTTTAGACCTGGGGAAATTCCTCCTCATTAAAATATGAAACCTAAATAAAATTCTTACATTTCGATTGCTATTTTACGGAGTTCTTATAGAAAAAATATACTACAGTGATTTGATATATGCAAGTTAAAAAGTTAATTGAAAAATGTGTTTATAGAAAATGTAAATATTTTAAAAAAAAAATTTCAAACAAGGCTTTAAAAGGATTTTACTAATCAGACACTCGTTAAAAGAACGTTTATGTATTATTATTATTGTTATTTTTGCAAAAAATGAAATTAAGTCTAGAAAAGCATCTAAATGCAGGGACAATGAATGTAGATGTATGTATTCCATTGGAATAATTTTTTTTTATTATATTTATCTTCCTCTCCTCTTGTCTTTGTGAGCTAATTTATCTCTCTTTCCTCTTCTTTGTCAGCTGTAGTTTTGTGATGCAATGTCGAATTATGGAAATAATAATATGAGTTGACTTGGTTAAAATTCCATCCAAAAATGAAGAAAAAAAGTCTTTCACTAATTCAACCTCATTCACCTTCTTATTTTCTATTTCTTTCTTTCTTATTCTACTTTTTGTGGACTAGTCCACCTTGTTATGCGGGTTCCGTACACAAATGACACGAAAATGACGATCTGTACCATGAAGAATATAATTGGGATAATCAATAATTATTTCATTCAAATTTGTAGCCACAAGCTATCCCTCGACAGCAAGTAGCCACAAGCTATTCCTCAACATGTCCTTTTTCCCAACTTGATCATCTTAAATATAACCAAGCCCCAAGCGAATTCAACTTCAAGGAACAGGTGCTTTTGGATACTTCAATTTTTCCACAGAGTTAGAAAGCTTTTCCAAGCCAAAATGGCCATCACTGCCTTCCCAACTGTCGATAAATGCGCGTCCATCGGTCGCGAGAGGGACACGGTGGTGGCGGATCTGGATGGAACCTTGCTTAGAGGGCGAAATTCTTTTGCTTACTTAGCTTTGATCGCTTTTGAAGCAGGAGGGATTCTAAGGCTTCTTTTCCTGGTCTTGACTGCACCAATCGCTGGTCTTCTTTACTATTTTGTTTCTGAATCTGCTGGAATTCAAGTTCTCATTTTTGCAACATTTGCTGGATTAAGAATTTGTGACATAGAATCGATTGCTCGCGCCGTGTTACCAAAGTTCTACTCTAGTGATCTTCATCCGGAGTCATGGAGAGTGTTTTCTTCTTGTAGAAAACGTTGTGTCCTCACTGCCAATCCCAGGATTATGGTGGAAGCTTTCTTGAAAGATTTCTTAGGAGCTGACTTGGTTTTGGGTACTGAGATTGGTACTTACAAGGGCAGGGCAACTGGTTTTGTTAAGAATCCTGGTGTTCTTATTGGGAAGAACAAAGCTGATTCTCTTAAGAAAGCATTTGGTGATGAACAGCCAGAGATTGGATTGGGTGACAGACAAACTGATATTCCTTTCATGACACTGTGCAAGGTTAGCGAACTACTGCATGCTATTTGTTGCATATGAAAAAAAAAGCAAAAAAAAATTCCTGTTTGAATATTACATCCAATATTTGGCTAATCATTTATCTATTTGTTGTATCCTACATACACTAAAACACATTTGAACACTAAGGAGGTGATAAACTAGAGAAAATAAAAATTACAGATGCACTAAACAAATAATTCAACATTGTTTAAGATGTTAAATCTTGTCCATTTTTATTTTGTCATTGATTATACGGTAAAATACCAAAAAAATCTCCTATGATTTGCTAAATGTTCAATTTAATTCCCTCTAATTTAGAAACATACAATATAATTCCTATGGTTTCAACTAAATTAAAAATTGAATGGAAAGCATCCAATCTAATGATTGTATGTAAAATATCAATATTGTCCCCTATGTAAATGAACTTTCTTTGATTTGCCAAATATTCAATTTAATTCCCTCTAATTTAAAAAATTACACTTTAATTCCTTGCAGTTTTGACCAAATTAAAAATGGAGCAAACAACATCCCTATCTCAATCAAAAATTTGTACTAAGTATGCTCGAAAGCGCTAGGAAGATTCCTTTCTCTTATTAGCATTGTGTGTCTTGTAACTAATGTTGTACGTTAACGTTACATGCATGCCTCGTAAAGAATGTAACTAATGTTGTAGTATACTGAAGAATATTACTTGCAAGATTAATTGCATAATATCGTCAAAAAATTGACTACTTTAGCTTGACAGAATTAGTGTTGTAAGCATTACCTCAGCATCAAAGTTTCTTGACCACTAGTCTTCTGAATGCAGGAGGGTTACATTGTTCCACCGAAACCTGATGTGAAGGCCGTCACACATGACAAACTCCCGAAGGCCCTAGTGTTCCATGATGGCCGCTTAGTTCAGAAGCCAACACCCCTCTTAGCTGTTCTCACCATCCTTTGGATCCCAATCGGTTTCCCCCTCGCTTGTCTTCGGATCGCAGCTGGATCACTCCTTCCCATGTCAATGGTGTACTATGCACTCTGGGCACTTGGGGTTCGTGTCACAGTTAAGGGCAATCCACCACCCCCTGTCAAAAGCTCCTTACGCCGATCCGGTGTACTCTTCATTTGCTCCCACAGAACCCTGCTCGACCCCATTTTCCTCTCTACCGCCCTTGGCCGCCCCATTCCAGCTGTTACATATTCCGTCTCCAGACTATCGGAAATCATTTCTCCAATTAAGACAGTTAGACTTAGCAGAGATCGTGCTACAGATGCATCCATGATAAAGAAATTACTTCAACAAGGTGATCTAGCAATATGCCCAGAGGGTACTACTTGTCGCGAACCCTTTCCTCTCCGATTTTCAGCCCTTCTCGCTGAACTAACCGACGAATTAGTTGTGCCCGTGGCTATGGAGAATCGCATGAGCATGTTTCGTGGAACAACAGCAGGAGGGTGGAAAGGGATTGATCTATTTTATTTCTTCATGAACCCAAGCCCTGCTTGCGAGGTCACTTTCCTGACGAAGTTGCCAGCTGAATTGACATGCAAGTCAGGAAAGTCTAGTCATGAAGTAGCAAACTAAATTCAGAGGTTGATTGCTGCCATTCTTTCTTATGAATGCACGATCTTTACTAGGAAAGACAAGTTTCGAGCACTTGCTGGGAATGATGGAACAGTAGTTGAGAAACCTCGGATCAAAGCAGACAAGGTTTTGGGATGCTGATTTAATTTCCTGATGCTGGACCACAACCTGGAGAGTACTAGCTTGTATTATGGTTTTCCCAGTTGGGTACCTTCATTAGGAACATCGGACACGAACACGACCCGTGTTTGCAAATTCTAATGTTTCGTGGGTACCTCTGAATGCATGAGAAGCTAATCTGTTGCCTTCTTAAATTTAGGAAGAAACAAGTCATGAGAAGTTGGAATTATAGTATAATGAATTGAGATCCCTTCTGTTTCTGAAAATGCATTTCATCCATCCATGTACCCGTTTTTCCTTTGAGTACAAGTGAAAGCATTGATTTACCTAACGTAAATTAGCTAAGAGAATCATCAAGAAAGAAAGCCCCTAAAGAAAGTTTGTTTAGAAGTTGCAAGTAGTGATCCACCTAACACATCCACTTTTCGGATCTGTGTAAATTAGGGGGACAAATTGCAACTCCAAGGATAAATTTGTCTTTTGATCAGTTTTGATCTGGGACTGGCAGCTTACCCCTGGCAAGAAATAGCAAGGGAAAATACAAAATCGAGTACAAAAGGAAAAAAAAAAAAAGGAGCGAGTCCGAAGCGCGTGATCCATGAAAAATTGCGTCGTCTTTGTCCCTCAACTCATTCTCCTCGTCCAGTTCTTTTTCTATCTTCATACTCTCCTCTTGTTATTTTCTTTCAGGCCAAGATTTTGTACTACATTCCCTTCATAATGAATCTCATGGTATAGAAAGTTGAGAAACACAGGCAAACGGAAACATGGATTTCGGGTCATTCTCATCAAGCGTAGAAGATTCAGCAGAATTTGATAAAGATCTCACTCTTAGTGAAAAACTTAAAGTCTTCAAACCATCAAAATTCGATCCAGAGGGCTATGTCACCTCCAGATGCCGTCGGATGGGTGAAAAGGTCACCCCACCAACCTTTTTCCTATCCACATGTATTCTTGCATGAATTCTCTATCACCTTTATATTTACACTAGAAATTTACTAATGTACTACTATGATTTTCTGCGTATGATGGGATTGTCGCACTAGAGGAATTTTTTGTTTGATGACGTTGGTTAACATATTTGGTCTTTAAAAATTATCTCATGATCTAGTCAGATAATTCTTGAGGGCCCATTTTCAAATGAAAACTATTGCATTGGCAGCTTCATTGATCCAGGTATTATAAAATTCTGCCTGCCAAAGTTTTGCTTTCTATATATTAAGGAGGCATGATTTCCCAACCTTAGATATGTAAGAACGAAAAAAATTGTCTCCTGCATAGAGGGATATGTTCTATCATGACATTATAATCACCTGCATTGCTGGGAAATGAGTTTTTGACAATTAGCTAACGTAGTCCAAATCATTAATCTAAATATTACTGCGATGTTTCAAATTTCAATTGCTAAGGCATACATTTAATCCGGTACATTGGCCTACATCAGAAACCGTTTAAAAGTATCATAGGTCCTCAGTGAGAAACAAGGCTGATGATAAATTCTTGATTTCCTGACAGGAAATTAGGCATTTGTGCATTTACCTAGTCGATTTGAGGAAGGCTTCAGCTGAAGAGATGCGGAAAAGTGTTTATTCTAACTATGCAGCATTCATTCGGTAAGCATAACTACAGAATAGGCCATCAAGATTGAACCTTTCTGATTTCTGACAATGCACTTGGAAGCTTAATGTGTATTTTTCTTCATCCTATGATGTTGTTCTTACATCACAAGGCATAGGCATTGCAGTTTGCAAAACCGAGAGATGATTAATAATCTAATAGCTATTGAAAAATTTTACTGCAATTCCTCAGTGGCTTCAGTTACACTTACTAGCACTTTGGTTGAGGTTAGCAAAGTTTTATCATAAGCATGTTATATTTGTGCTGCTTTTGAAGGATGTATAGGTTGAGCAACTGCTTCTAAATCAATGATCACGGTCCTTTTTTGCAGTGTCTCTAAGATGTTGGTACATGACATGAAGAGCTATCTGATACTGTTTGCATATGCAGCACCTCGAGGGAGATTTCTGATCTTGAAGGACAGCTTCTCTCCTTAAGGAATCTCCTCTCAACCCGAGCAAATCTTGTTCATGGTTTAGCTGATGGAGTTGGCATACATTCTCTGTCAGATGGCCCCGAAGGTTCCAAAGCTGAGGACGTTGTGCGATTGGACCAGGGACCTTCAAAAGTCGAAAATTGGTTAGCTCAATATTTGGAGACTCTTGAAGTTTTACTGGCTGAAAGAAGGGTTGACGAAGCTTTGGCTGCCTTGGAAGAAGGGGAAAAAATGGCAGAGGAAGCCGAGAAACAAAAAAGTTTAACTCCATCGGCATTGTTATTATCACTGCAGGCAGCTATTATGGAGAAGAGAAAAAAGTTGGCAGATCAATTAGCAGAAGCTGCTTGCCAATCTTCAATCACCATTGTTGAGCTTCGCTCGTCTGTACAAGCTCTTAAACGACTTGGGGATGGCCCACGAGCTCACACACTACTTCTGAAAACTCACTATCAGAAGCTGCAGAGTAATATGCAGAGTCTCCGGCCATCAGGATCTTTGGAAGGAGTAGCATATACTGCTGCACTTTCCCAGCTTGTTTTCTCAACCATTGCACAGGCAGCAAGTGATTCGTTGGCTATATTCAATGAAGAGCCTGCATATGTATCTGAACTTGTTACTTGGGCTGTCAAGCAGACAGAGAATTTTGCACAGCTTGTGAAGAGACATGTTCTAGATTTGCCAGCAGCTTCAGGGGGACTCAGACCTGTTGCTGAGTCGGTTCACATATGCTTTGGTCACTGCTCTTTGCTAGAAGCTCGTGGATTGGCCCTTTCTCCAGTTCTCTTGAAAATCTTTAGGCCTTGTGTCGAGCGGGCACTGAATGCAAACTTGAAAAGAATTGAACAGAGCACTGCTGCGCTTGCTGCTGCAGACGATTGGTCACTCAATTATCCCCCTGTTGGTTCACGCGCTTTTGGTACCACGTCCATTGGCACTGCATTATCATCCCAACCAAGGCTCTCATGCAGCGCTCACAAGTTTAATTCCATGGTTCAGGTGATTTTCTGGTGTATATGTGTACAGTGTTCATCGTTATTTCTCGTGCACTAGTATAAAGTTAGGGATTTTCTGCTTTGATATTGCAACAGTAGTGTGTTAATCTATCTGAGAATGTCCAGAAATTTTGCAACAGTATTGTGTTAATCTATTTGCTTTTGAAAGGCTTTCTGATAGCCCACAAGTTTGTATGGTTTCTACTGTATTAACCAAATTAAACATGGACTCAGGAACTTTGCGAGGATGTCAGTCCCCTTGAGAGCTTGCAGTTGTCTGATGCAGCTTTAGAAGGTGTTATACAAGCTTTTAACGCATATGTGAACTTAATGATAAATGCATTGCCCGGCTCAACAGAGACTGAGAACCTGGAGGAGACTGGACATAAAATTGTCAGGATGGCAGAAACCGAAACCCAACAAATTGCCTTGCTAGCCAATGCACTAATGCTGGCAGACGAGCTTCTTCCACGTGCAACCATTAAGCTCTCATCGTCACAGCAGATTTATAGAATGGATGAACAATCTCGAAGGACTTCAGATAAACAGAACCGTCTTCCAGAGCAAAGGGAACTTAAGCGCCGGCTCCAGCGCATGGTTGATCAATTGCGAGATACCTTTTGCAGGCAACATGCCCTTGAGCTTATCTTCAATGAAGATGGTGGCGTTCGTTTGGGTGCAGATATGTACTTAATCATGGATGGAAATGCTGATGAGCCAGAATGGTTTCCCTCACCAATATATCAGGTAAGCATTTTACTTTGAGTGGTGATGCTGTGTTGTATGGTGTTGACATTATTCCCCTGATTAGCAGCTCCAATGTTCCTCTCTTTCTCCAGAAAAAATCCTTAAGATTTTTCAATCTCTTCTATAGCATGGACATCATTGCGAAACCAATTTTGTCAGGTTCTTAATTTTGATGTATAAAACCTGTTTCAGGAATTGTTTCAGAAGTTAACATACATTGCGAGCATCGCTTCAGATATGTTTGTGGGAAGAGAAAGATTTGCTACTATTCTGTTGATGAGACTCACAGAGACAATCATCCTATGGCTTTCTGATGATCAAATCTTCTGGGAAGAAATTGAGAACGGGCCAAGGCCTCTGGGTCCTTTTGGGCTTCAACAGGTTTTTCTTGCGGATCTTTTTGCTTTTGCCTTCCGAATGCTGATTTGTTTATGCTGTTATCTAGGGTAATTTACTCAATTATTGCATTTTTAATTGGAAATTACAAAACAGTATTGTTACTTTTGATGGGCTCCCAAAAGTACAGAAGCCTACTCCTTAGAAGTCCACTGCCAGTAAATTTTGAAGTCTACTTCCAAGAAATTGACTTTAAAGTCGACTTTCATTCTCCAAGAGGTTTTCTCCTTCTTCCATTCCCAAAAATAAAGTATAATCCATGATTGGAAAGAAGGTTTTTATGGCTCCATCTTTCTACCCCCTTGTTTCTGCCAAGAATTTTCCCAGCTCTTCAACATGATTAAAAGAACCAAGAAGCCAAGTATTGTTTGGACGCTTGATACCTGTTATGCTGCTAGTGCTTTGGTGGCCAGTAGCATCATCTGAAGGTTGAGGGAGCAGAGTGACAGTTGAGATAAATTTTTGTGAGGAAAAATATTTGCTTTTTGGTCTCAATAAGTGACTTCGAGTTCGTAATAGTCTGACTGCTATACTTTTGAAACACTGTCAAAATACGGTAGGTGTATCTTAGAATGAGACATAATATCGGGTAAAAAAGGAAACCCGATATACTTTTCTTGGTATATTGCTGAATAAATTACTGAACATACTTTTCTTGGTATTCTGTAGTTTTATTTGGATATGGAGTTTGTGATACTCTTCGCATCACAAGGGCGGTACCTATCCCGAAATTTGCATCAAGTTATCAAAAACATCATTGCTAGAGCTATTGAAGCAGTTGCTGCAAACAACATGGATCCTTATAGGTAATAAGTCCTAATGTTAAGCCTTCGTGATCAATCAAGTTGTACTTGTCATACAGTATTATCACGTAGGACGTTGGTGCAATTAGCACTTTTATTGCCTATTTCTCATCTTAAGTTTTAAAATTAACCACCATTATTCTTTTTCTTTCTTAAAATTTTGTTGCTCCCAGTATGTTGCCAGAGGATGACTGGTTTGCTGAAGTAGCTCAAATTGCGATAAAGATGTTGACCGGGAAAGCCAACTTTGGGAGCATGGAGAGAGAGACTGGCAGTCCAACCGCATCCATTTCTGCAAGATCTGCTTCATCTGTCCACTCCCATGGAAGTACCTAGCATTGATAGTTGTTGTTATGCTATGCCTCCATATTTCATATTACCATGCAAATTCTCCACTCCACTCTGTAACCCACAGTAAAGTTGCTCCTGCTCATTCAGTTTTCTTCTTTTCGTCTTCTGATTCCAATGGGAGAATAATAAATATCATCTAGAGGCATGTGGAAACTGTATTTGCAGCTTCCAGGATGGATACATCAAGTATATCGAAGGACAACGTTGCAACTAAAACACATGTTGCTTTCAGTAATACGAACAGTAAAAAGGAAAGATGCAGTTTGAAAAGGACAGAGCTGCCTACTTCTTTTACAAAAACTGATTCTTGTTATAGCAGCAATTCTAGCAGAGGTAACTACTACTATTAGATAGGTACCGTACAAGGTGAGAAATGAGTGCGTAGGCTTTGTACTCTGATTATGCATCTATGACTCTACACCTATATGGATGGTCATCTTCCCAGCTTTTCTCTTTTTGCCATTGTTTACACCGGTAGAGTCATACAGATGAATCTTCCTGGTGCCAAGACCATTGGTGATGCTACTGCTCAGACAAGCATGGATGGCCAGTTATCTCCATCCTTGCCACTCCTGACCTCCCTTGAAGTTCTTGATCTTACTGGACTTTCTTACCTCAAAGGCCAGATCCCTCCGCTGATTGAGAATCTGCCAGAGCTCCGAAGTTTAGCCCTCTCTTTCAATGGTCTTAGTGGTCCAATACCAGAAAGCACCGGAATGCTATCAAAACTTGAGGGCATGAATCTGCGTTATAACAAATTATTAACTTTTTAACTTTTCCAGCTCTCTTCCTTCAAGCCTTGGCGGACTCAGGAGTCTTAAAACACTTGATGTAGATTCAAATCATCTTTCTGGTTCTATTGGAAATTTGATCGATTTGGAGAACTTGTATCTTCAGAATAACTATCTATCTGGACATATACCAAAAAGTATTGGTTATCTGCAGGCTCTCCAAGATCTTCAGCTATTAAACAATCAGTTGAGTGGGAGAATTCTGTCTTCCATAAAACGCATCTTACTGAACGATAATCGTCTAAGAGGAAGTATACCTTCCTCTTTTGGGCAACTGAAGTCACTTCAAACACTCTCTTGAGAATAATGTACACACTCTTGAGAAGTCACTTCAAAAATGTATACACTATTGAATCCGAATGCACGCTACATGTGTCGAATTTGAAATTTAGGATCTGTTTGATAACATAAAAAAATGCTGAATCTAAATTTTTTCAAACATTCAGATATTTTGAGTGTTTGATAAACGAAAAACTATCCGCCGAATTTTTTTTTTTTCCACTAACGGCAACATCTAGCCTAGCCTAACATGTTAAGCAGTGCTGAACTTGTGTGTATTTTTTTTAGCACAAGAATCCTAATTGAATGCTTAATTCTGATAAGAATCAATAGAATTATTTCAACTACCTCATCTTATCTACCAAATTTACTCTTGCTTGTTAATTATGTTCAAAATTCTTATCTAATTAAACAAGCCAATATTCTCTATCTAATGGTTTTCAGTTTCTCTTTTCTCCCTTTTTAAATGACTTTTACATGTTCTCCGTACTCTTCATATAATATATTTCATCTTTTATATTAATTTGATTTAAAAATAAATATTATCATTTTTATACCTAACTATTTTAAACTAATTAAATCATAGGTTCTACTTCTTTTTTGAATGAAAAGATATAAGGGTAAAATTGTCAAATTAAACTTATTAAGTATTTAGTTATAAAGATTTATCAAACGGTATAAATAGATTTAGCATTAAAATTTAGACATTCATATATTTCTTTTCCGTGCTTAAAATTCAACAAATTAATTATTTCAGTATTCAGATTTCAGAATTCAGATTCAATTTTATCAAACATAACCTTAATCACTTACAGTTCCAGGAGAGTTTTAAAATTCAATAAAACATTAAAGGCAGAAATGATGATCTGCCCCTTATCTGAGGAAAGAAATGTCAGCCCCAGAGGGTTTTATTTGGACCAAAACGAAGACTTCTGTATCAACATTGTACGCGATAGCCTCGTTACAGCAAAAAATCAACTAAAGGCATCAAAACTCCAGTTGGAAATCATCCCCAAGATTTCATCAAGGATAACCCATATTGGAAATCCTAGGATTTCTACACGGAAAAGTATGACTAAAGTAAATGATTTGGAATTATATGAAACCTCTTAAACATGTCCAGGGACTCGAGAAATAAAGCACTGGTTTTCAACGTTAATTAACTTTCTCAGCGCTTTCAATAAACTGCGCTTGACATTTTCGTGCAAAAACAAGGGAGTAAAAACACGGAATTTGGAAAATACTGGAAGAATAACTCCATAGATTTAGGCAAAAAATGATGAACCTCGATTTTTTTTTTCCTTTTTTTAATATTTAGTTGCTCTCGGTATGTTGCCAGAGGGTGACTGGTTTGCTGAAGTAGGTCAAATTGCTATAAAAATGTTGACTTGGAAAGCCAATTTTTGGAGCATGTAGAGAGATAGTAGCAGTTCAACAGCTTCCAATTCTGCAAGATCTGTTTCATCTGTCTACTTTCCTGGAAGTAACTAGAATTGATAAAGTTTGTGTTTTATCATGTTTCCAAATTTCCTTTTCCCCACGCAAATTCGCCTCCATATTCATGGATCCTCCGCAAAAATGCTGCTTCCTATGTTTCTCTTCATTTTCTAATTTGTTTCCCTCTTTAGTATGTGAAAATGAGAAATTAACATCATCTAGATACAATTCCTAAGACCAAAAAAGATAGAATCGATCACTTCTCAATCAAAATTCGTCGCTGCTATGGCGACAATTCCTAGCTGGGATAAATATTAGGTACAAGGCGGGCAATGAATGCGTAGGTACCAGATTGCTATATACTCCTGTTTATGTACCTACATGTACTCTGCCGGAGAAAGAAGAAGGGGAAGCTGTTGTCCCTATTATAGTATGCCAGTGGTACTTTTTCCAGCTAATCTCATCGTTTCGCCATGCTTTTAGTTACAGTCGAGACTGCTAGTGCTGACGACTAAAGAGAGCTTGATATCTTACACGTTTTCACACGATGAATATGAACACATCAACGGTTGGTTTTCCTGATTTGGTAATTCAAGCGTAAGAGCCCGTTTAGCTGTTTTAGTGAGGTATTTACCCCTTCCCATCCCTCGCACCCTTTAAGCCTGTTTAGCTGTTTTTTTTAGTAAGAAGTATTTGCTACTTCCCATCCCTCGCATCCTTTAAATCACAAGCACTGAATTAAGAAAAGAATCAAGAATGAGAAAATCCATCTTGTTTCATCCAGAAAAAATGGGTTCTAAGGAAGTTTTAGTTCTTCTAATTATTCTCATGATCACAAAGGGAGAATGCAAGGCAAGTGATGGTGAAAAAACTTGCCACCCCAATGACCTCAAGGCGCTGATCGATTTCAAGTCTGGGATCCGCCATGACGATTCATTCCGGCTGGAGAAGTGGATTGGGCGTGATTGCTGCAAATGGGATGGCATTGTTTGTGACAATGTCACTGGAAGAGTCATAAAGATGAAACTCCCTGGTGCAATGACCATTGATGATGCTCCTGCGCAGACAAGTATGGATGGCGTGTTATCTCCATCACTGTCACTCCTGACCTCCCTTGAAGTTCTTGAACTTAGTGGACTTTCTCACCTCGAAGGGCAGATCCCTCCGCTGATTGGGAATTTGGCAAAGCTCCGAACTTTGGCCCTCTCTTACAATGGTCTCAGTGGTCCAATACCAGAAAGCATTGGTAAGCTATCAAAACTTGAGGAAGTGCATCTAAATTCTAACAACTTCTCTGGCTCTCTTCCTTCCAGCCTTGGAAATCTCAGCAGTCTTGGAACAATGGATCTTACTTCAAACCATTTTTCGGGTTCTATACCTCATTCTATTGGAAATCTGATGAATCTGGTGAACTTGTATCTAGAGAATAACGTACTCACAGGCTATATACCAAAATGTATTGGTAACTTGCAGGCACTCCAAGATCTTAAGCTATCAAACAATCTGTTGACTGGGGGAATTCCGTTTTCCATTGGCAAGTTAAGTTCTTTGCGCTCTATTTTACTGGATAATAATCATCTTACAGGAAGGATACCTTCTTCTTTTGGGCAACTGAAGTCACTCGTTACACTGTCCCTTCAGAATAACCAGCTTGAGGGGCCAGTCCGTTCCAACTTAGGCCAGTTACAATCATTGGCAGAGTTAAATCTTGGTGGGAACAGATTATCTGGTAAACTACCAAAAACTATTGGCCTGCTCCCACTTTTCACCTTAAGCATCTCGAACAACATGATTGAAGGACCACTACCTGTGGAGATGTCTTCTCTCACGAATCTTTCAAGACTCTACCTGTCATTCAATCCGCTGAATCTTTCGTCAATTCCAACTTGGCTTGTGGATATGCCATCGATAAACGCGATTCACTTGGCTGGATGTGGAATAGAAGGTGAAATTCCAAGGTACCTACAAAGTGCTGCAAGCAGATGGGCGGAATTGGACTTGTCAGCTAATCATCTCACTGGAAGCATACCTTCCTGGCTTGGGAGCTTCCACCTGCAACATTTGAATCTCTCAACCAATTCACTTTCTTCCGAGATTCCTGCTACCTTTATAAGTTTCGAAGGCTTGGAAGAGTTGGACCTTCACTCAAATAAATTATCAGGTTCACTGAACTGGTTATTTCAAATGAGATGTAGTTTCCCTTTTGGATTGTCATACGTTGATATTTCTAATAACAGATTCAGAGGTGATATCGAGCTGATTGGCAAGGGAAGCCAACAGAGAATTACAAATCTTAATTTGTCGAATAACTTGCTCAAGGGTGAACTGCCAAAATCCATTGGAGAGTTAGGGTGGCTGTGGAGTTTGGATTTGAGTTACAATCAGTTGAACTCTGTCCTGCCAGAATCACTAGCAAATGCAAGCCTCTTAGAGAGGCTGAATCTGCAACAAAGTAAGTTCACCGGTACGATACCATATGAGTTTTTGAAGTTCAAACATCTAACAGAGTTGAACCTGTCAGGTAATCTTCTTTCAGGGGAAATTCCTCAAGGCAAGCCACTGACTGGTTTTCCAAAGAGCTCTTATTCTGGGAACAGAGGTCTTTGTGGCGCACCCCTTCCTCCTTGCAAAAGGACTCAAACATCACATCCATAGTCTTGTTTTTAGGCCTTGGCTTATAACACATAGTATGACAATGTGATATAACAGCAGTTGCAGTTCTACGTGGAAATAAGAAAGTACAACTAAGCTGAACTTTGAAATTTGATCTTCTACTTTCGCAACCCTGTTTATTATAAATACAGTCATGTCTGCCTATCCCTATCAAAAGTCAAGCCTAACTGTGCGGCCCAATAACTTCAAGCTATTAGCGAACCAGCGGGCTAGAGGTTATATTTCATTCCCCCCACCCCATACTCCAGTTTTGGCTTGATTAAGTGTGTAAAATGGTCTTTCACGCAACCTCAGAGGAACGAAAACCAGAGCTGGCTCACGAACATGCACAAATTTTTTCTACTGTTACACTGTTGCATGTGAGAGGCCGGGAATAATACACCGGAATTCAGGTCCGAGCAAATCAGGACCCAGAGATGGAGCAGGACATGATGGCCCAAGTAGTTCATCGAAACCTTGCATTGCTTAGTGTAAAAGTCTAGAATGACGAGCATTCTCAGCACCGTCGGAACTCTATTCAAGATTCATTAGTTTAACAGCAGTCTCTTTGCTTGCTAGAAAACTCAGATGATTTACTTTCTTTTTAGATTCAAGGGATTGTTGTCATCCACAGATATATTTTTGGCGTATCCAAGAATGTTAAGCTTCCCGGGGCGGCAACAAAAGTTGCTGTAGAATGAAGTTTTGCACTATTCGTCATTATCTTGAAGCTAACAAGTTCTCCACCTGTTAAAGGGACTCATTACTAAACTCCAATTGCTGATAATTCGCATAATCAATTTCATTTAGCCGTATGCAGCATAAAATCTGCTCCGGCAACTCCTCAGCTTTGTTACCCTGGTATGCCACCAACCAAAAAAAAAGGGGACAAAAAAGAAAAAACATATACATTAGAAAGATATTTTACGGCCCAGAACTGTATTAAGAAAGAACGAACGAATAAAACGAGAGTGAAAGAATTGTGCACTCAAAACAGTTGCTTGCCTGAATTGTGAGGCCAAAGTCCAAGATGCAAAGCTTTAGCCGGTCTAGGAATGCTTCAAAACCTTTTCTAGAGATGTAGCTAAATCGATGCATATCCAAATCAATCTCAAAATAGTTTTCTCCCTGCAGAAAAATTTTTATGGTTCTTAGGGATTGATATCATCAAGATGTTTGTCTCTCTCTACAATTTCAACGAGTATCAGTGAGAGCTCTTACAATTGAAAGTTTCAAGCTTTTATCCATAATTATGCTGCTTTTCTACATAGATGGCTAACAAGACTAAACAAGAACATCTAAACAAAAACAATTTCAAGCTTAAAGTTGACTCTCACCAAGAAAAATTCATGTTGCGGACGTGAAAGAACAGGCTTTTCATTGTAGGCATGCATAAGCTTTCGCTCAGGCGCACTTAAACGGAGATCATCCACATTGCCTACACGCCCCAAGATTTTTAACCTTTCCCTGAAAGGTACATTTGTATCTACAGGAAAGCCTTTTACTTTTTCCACCTCATCATTGATTACCCTCTGCACCACAATATATAGTAAACCAAGAAAAAAGAGTATTACATGAAAATTTTGGCAAGGCATTCATGGACAGAGGTGTTATTATATGTTCTCTTCACTGAGTTATTATTGCTCAAGGAAGATTTCAACTAGAAATGAAGTGAAAAACTCGAGCACTTTAGGATGCTACCTTCAAATTTTAACTTGTCAAAATTCAAGTGAAAAATTAAAATGATCCAACTTACCCTGATACTTTCTTGAAAATGGAATGGAAGTTCCTTTGCATAACTCTCTGAAAGTTTAAAGTACATAACAAAACTAATCCCGTCTCCATCAGTTTCATTTTGAAAAATTGTGGCTGGATACAGTGGTATCTGTATAACCATGAAAACATGAAGGATACTTAAATAAACAGGTGTTAGATAGGGAACAACTGAGCAACTCAACTTCTATAGTAATGCAGCTTTATCTTAAAGAGCAATGTCTAAGCAAATAGTGAGGCATAAGCCAACATATAAACTGATAATCCTGGAGAGAGAAACTAAAATGATCAGAGAGGAAAGGATAATGTATGAGAATTAGATAAGAAAAAGCAATTAGAGACAGTTAGAAGGCTTCATAGACAGTTAAAGGGCACTGAACTAGAGTCAAGACTTCATGCTAAAGTACACCACATGCTTTGTCAAGAATTTGAAGGAAAAAAAAAAAAAGAAGACAGAAACAAACTTGAGCACAGTATTAGAATTAATCCAACTCAATATCACACCAACCATACATCCTGTAGCTTTCTAGAAGGTTGTCTAATTCCAATAAATAAACTGAGTGAAGAAATAGAACATTATCGGAACTTTATGTGCATTGTCAGATTTGATAACCTCTGAGGAAGCAAATAAAATCCAGGTAACTATCGTGATATTCCATGCAATTCTTTTCTGGAAAAGTCATTTCTGTATGGTGTTAAATGACAAGGAACTGCCATAAATTGCAAGTTTTAATACCTGAGCATTGACAACAAGAATAGAAGGAAGTGCCCCAGAGTAGTTTATGGCTGGAAGCTCCACAAATCGAGCAATATGATTAACTTTCTTCGGAGATAAAAATACATCGAGACCAAATGGGTAATATGCTGCATAATTTGGAGCAAAATCCTTCCTTTTATCTCTGCATAGTAAAAGCGCAAGAGAACCACATGAGAGAGATGGGAAAGAGCATATACACAAAATGCATAAATGCGTTTGGGTGCAAAACTTTGAAATAGTTGAGAACGTCCTCCAACCTATGATAATTTGCCCCCCGAACTTTGAAAGTCCTCGGTTCAATCTGAGACCAACTGTCGGAAATCTTCTTCTCCAAGGGACAAAAAGGTACCTGGGATCCGGCAATTGGCCTTTGTAAAAGTGCCTTTGAAGAAACTGCAAGGAATACTTATCAGTACTCTGCCAAACTTGCCGATGACTATAGTAACTGTATTATAGATGAAACTGCCTCATTTGCAAATGCACCCTTTTCCCCATTTCAGCATTTGTGAGGGATTCAGCATCACATATCAAGCAATTTCGTCAAAGCATTCTTATAGACAGTTTCTCACCATGAATAGCAGTCAAAGCTACTTGTATGCCTGAAGGAACCAAATTTAAAATGTCTAGAGGATGTAGAAATAAATCTGAAATAGCTTCATTACACAAGGCCTTTATTCAGTCCTGAAGAAGTCACTGAGGGTCATTTTTTAAAGTTAATAGATTACCATTTGAATGAAAGATAGCAAACTTAAGCAAGTAGCATGCTCAATAATCATTGGCAGTTAACTATTTATGCTTCATTACAAAAATGATCCCGTTAAATGTTTATAGATAAGATTTTCACCCACTTTTCTTTCTTATAATAAGCATGTCCACTTCATATCTTATACCCAGATGAGTGATTTCATCTCAAACAATATGTGTAACCCTATAAGGACTATAAGGAGCAAGAGATGATGCAGTTTGACCGCAATACCACAGAGAGAAGAGGTGGGTATGAGTCAGCAGTATATAAATTATAAACATACAAACTCAACCATATGCATAGTTCTCGTGTAGTTTCAAGTGAAAGTGGATACATATGCAAATCAAATACAGTTACTCACGCAAATTTGCACTAGAATGTCCTTCCCTCCACTTGAAGGAAAGTTTCGAGGCAGCCTTTTTCCTAGCACTTGGAGGACTGGAGCTCAGAGATCTCCTCTTTTCCACAGATGGGACAGTTGAAGCTAGACAAGGCAAACAATTGTTTGGAAGAATACCACAGTTATCCATCAAGCCATCCTCCCTGTCAGCACTTTCATCTGCCGAAGAGGATATTTCATCAAGGAAAACAGGTTGCACCTCACTGGAGGATCCATCAAATTTCACCCGCAATTCACAATCATTAGGATGCCCTGAACTTTTTGAAACTCCACTGACAGAGTTCCGAGCAGAATTCTGATTTGACAAGTCTCCTTGCCCCTGTGGCTGCTCAATAGAGGATACACATTGCACATTAGCATCACCATGTCTTTGATTGGCATATTTGGGAGAAGTAACACTAGACACTGATGCAGCATCACAGCCATTAAGGGAGAGCAAATCTGTCCACAAAATAGTCGCGAGATTTCATAAGAAGTGTGAAACCGTATTACATCATAGACAAACTTCTTCTTTTTTTAGTTCAAGAATTCAGCTGATGCATCATCAAGCTATACATTTCTGAAGTATGAAATTTTGATCAATGAGTAGTTTATGTACCATCAGGAACACTTTGAAAATCATCATCACTACAGTCAGATTCAAGTATTGCAGCACAATCATGCCAGTCCTCCTCAATGCTTCCTGTTAGCATTACCACAAAGAACAAAACAATCTCATCAAAAAATCTTGATCAAACTTCAAACAATTGAAAATGTATTTGTAGCAAAGTTTTATCTCCAGCATCAGAAATCTATGATCCCTTTATTGTCCATTAATGTCCTGATGCTGATACAACTACTTCAATTAGAAACCTTGATGCATAACTGAAAGTCTCACCAGAAAATTCATGATAAAATTGTCCAAATGACAAAACTAGAGATGCATCTTGAAATCAAAATGCACCTTCGAGCTCATTATTACCTCCCAAAAAGTACAATGCTGCATTTATGATTTTCAGTCGCGTTAATGTCCTGATTTCATAATGCAAAATCTCCACTAAATCTGAATGTCAGGATATCAATCTAAGAAATAAATATCTAGAGCTTAAATCCAGATGTCATCATGCCAAAAACAGAACAAAGCCTTGTGCTCAATATACTAGGAATACTCTACCACATCTGAGTAATTCGCACAATCACAGTTCTCACTAGATTTTTGCTTATTAAGCTCAGAGTACAATCATTTCCTGCCAGCAACAAAGTTCTAATCCCAGTATCAACAATCATCTGGAAAACCACATAAGTTTCAAACATGTTTAACTATGAACAGCTCAACAGCTCAAAAGGCTTGGCTGGCAAACTACTTAGTGATCCTTTAGCAATTCCACATCTTCAGTATGTTCGAAAAGCAAAATACACAAGCTCTCAACACCCTCGGCATCATATAAAAAACATTGCATTTCAACTAGGCACCCACATTTTGCTCTATCAGTAACAGCATGAACTTGTTAAATAACATTCCAACCCAAAACTCAGACACCCAAAAAAGGGAACAAAACAAAGTCTCCTTCTTTTTCTGAGGAAAGAAATGCCAGCCCAAAAAGGGTTTAATAAAGAAAAACTCAAAATATTTCTGCAGTCAGATATGGATCATCAGCTGCTACGGGAAAATGCAGCACCCAATCTCCACATTTCCATCACATGCAATGCATCAATTAATCAGAAAAGTCAACTGAAGACTTCAAAACTCCAAACAAAAATCAGTCCAAGGCTTCATAAAGAACAGCATACCAGATCAATAACTAAAATAGTTAAATCCGAGGACATAGATACAGCAAATTGAATTACAAGGACACAAATTTTATCAACAGAAAGAAAACGCACAAAAGGGCAGAGAGAGAGGGAGAGAGAGAGAACCTTTATTATAGGTGCGATTGTTGAAGGAGGGATCCAAAGGAAGAGACTTGTTGTCAAATTTATCCAATGATGATCGGTCAGGTAAGTGAGAAGGAACTTTTCTCCTCACCTCTTTTATTCTTCTCCTAGACTTTTTCTTGGAACCTCCAAATTTGCCTCCCACACAACTCTCTGGCCTTGATACACATGCACCCATGTCCCCTACCCGGCTGCCAACCCCCCCCCCCTCCTCCCCTGTCTCTTTTCAGTCTGCTCTGCAAAACGTCACTAATCGAAGGCAAAATCCACAAGTCTTTTTTCTCCTTTACATCATCTAGACCCACTACAGCTGATGATCAACTAAAAATATAAAAATCCCAGATGGGAAGCCGTGAAAAAGAAGAGAACCCGCAACGCAATATAGAATCACGAAACGGAACTTATTAAACTTGGTTCTTATACTCATTAGACTATCTTTTTCGTTTTCTAGGTGGAGGGGTTGGGAATTTTCTATTGAGCTAGACAGGCAAATAAGTTAACGCAAAATTTTTAAAAAAAAATAAAAATAAATAAATTTGGTGTGGTGAAGACCGAAGCGAGAGAGAGCATAGTCAATAGCACCATAATCTATCTAATTATGTAAGGGACAAAATCAGTGAGAAGGCAGTTGGATGATCAGCGGCGGTGGCCGTGGTGGGGAGAGAGCCGGAGAGGTGAGGTGGGGCAAGCAACATCTGGGATTGGGGACCCAGTCAAGGATAGCCCACGTGGCGCAATTATGGGCTCCTCAACGTGTGGGATCGTCAGTTTCAGGCTTTCAGCTTCTAAATATCCCTCACGCTTTTTTAACGTTACTTGTCTCAGCTGTCTGTCACCGAAATCTATTTACTGCCACTGCTTGAATCTGGGCCCTAATAGTAGCCTGTCTGGTTTGGGGTTTTGGGGTTTTGGGTTTATTAAGGTCTGCGGGAGCCTTCAAAAGTTGCCGGCTTTTGAAGGTTTCTCGCAGGTCAACTTTAGTAACGAAAAAGTCTGAGTTTCTCAGTCATCGGAAAAAGTAGCCTGTCTGGTACGTGGATCCATTTTACACTACTTTACTTTAGTAGTACCACTTTAATTAAAAAAAAAATAATGCTACTTATATATATTTTTTCTTTTCTTTTTTTTTTGTTTGGATATGCCCATTAAAATAAATGCCCGGGTCAATTTGCTTATATTTATGGGAATTTACTTATAGAATTGCTCTAATGACAAAAATGTTTTCGGTAGTATGATGACTCATCGAACCCTCACGGTACAGCTCATCAATCATTGTCGCTCAGCTATGATTACAATGTAGGACTAGGTTTGTTTGGATTGTGAATTATTTGAGATATTTTTACTGTATCACTTTTTGTGATGTGATGTATGTGAGATAAAAAAATAATTGAGAAGATAAAAAGGTGCGTTGGAAATTGTAATGATAATGTAAGTAAATATAATTTGGCAAATAATTCACAATCCAAACAAAACCATGTGAATATGAATTTCGGTAAATACTAGTACTGTAATTGCTTCCAAACCAGCCTTTAAGGCTCGGAGGAGTGGGAGGCGGATTTGCTTTAAAAAATTCAGACGATGTGATGACTCTACCTTTTTTTCAGGGTGTATCTTAGGGTTTAGCGGATCGTCTGTTCAACTTTTGCCATGACTCATTCATTCATTTCAAAAGAACAAGTTATAACATCGAAAAGAAATGAAACTACAGTTTGAAATTTAGAATGTACATTTATGTTTAATTCTATCTCAAATATTCATACATTCCCAAAATATAACAAAAGATTTAAAATCTAAATAATTTCCAACTCTAATCAAGCACTAACGTGAGTACAATTCACAAAAGTCAAAACTAGACGACGCTAGCATGTACCAACCTCACGCCCACGCTCGTACCCCCTGTAAGAAAAATAAAATTAATAGAATGAGTCAAAATTCAGTGAGATTTCAAAACTTCATGCAAATCCAAATAGCAAATTATCCATTATAAAACTCGGAATATCAAAATAGTGAGTATAAGAGTTCACAAAGATAAGCAATAACACTTCAAATAACAAATCATTAGATATCCAACAATTTCAGGTAAAAGGATACAGTAGCTTTTGCGATTTAACTCCGCCGTAACTTCACCAAATAGTAGTTGACACTCCGTCAACTTTCAAATAGAGTAACCGGTCCAGTAGATCACCATTTAATTCCAAACTCTATCCACCAATCAACTCCCTATCGGGCCCAAACTCCAAATTAATAGTGACGGTAATATTTGACCATACCGAATCCAGTGGACCATATCCAAGGATTACACAATAAACAATAAACGATAAACAATAAACAGTACTTACGGTTCGCAGTTTTCTCGACCAAACTCTTACTGGCTCGATTCGACTGACTAACTAATAGGGTTAAGATCCCAGGCAATATTCAAATCATGCGCATCTATATATATTAAACTATTTGTAACCAATGCACAGTAATAAGTCACATTATGGTAAGTGCGATAAAGTACACCATTGCCCTATCAAATAAAGTGATTCATTCAAGGAAAAAGTTCAAACATGCATTTGAAAACACTCACCAATGATATGCTGCTTTCCAAAATCAAGCTCAGGTTCAACTTCTTGACTGGAATCCAAATATGAATAAAATACTGTTTAACAATTTACAATCAACTAGGGTTTTAAAATATGGGAGTTTCGTTTAAAAAAAATCAAGTAAATAGAACGCATTTAAGTGGTACTCATTTTAGTTATCAAATCTTAAAAAATTCATACTCGCTCTTTTGGTTTCGATAAAGAAGCGATTAAAATATTTAAGTTCGCAATTTGGCGGAAGAAACTAGAAAATCGTGTTTAAAGTGATTACTACTTTGTTTTTGAAAAATATATACTTTTGATCAAAATTTTCGCTTATAAGTCACTCATAAGGTCACTTAAATATCCCTACATAACTAAGTTCCAAATTGCTCGCAAGTCACATCCCTATTTCCGCTTTCGCTCACTTATCCCACGAGAGGAAAAACAGGTAGCATTTCTTTTGTTTTTATCTAATTTTCCAACCATTTTCAAGGCTTTATTTTATTCTCAAATCACCCCAACTCAATCTCCACAAGTAAGAACATAAAGATAGTTCTTAATCTAGACTAAAACCCATCCAATTGTAATTCATTTCTAGCAAATAGTCATCCAATACCAAAGCTGAAAAATTCTTAAGAAAATTGAAATTTCTACTTTTAAAGCTAAAAAGTCACAATAAGGTCATTAATCACCTCACAAGTCTAAAGCCAAGTTCAAAACTAATTTAGTATAGTTAAACAACACAATCAAGAATGAAAATTGCAAAATTCTAACTAAAAATTCACTAATATACACCAAAACTAGAGTATTATTTATAATATTTCAAGATTCAAGTCATCTACACCATATTTGGCAAGAATAAGGAACAGAAAAAAGTTGTTGAGCTTATACCTTCAAAACCTCTTGAGAAGTGAAGAACCAAGCTATTTCTCCAAAGAAACTCTCCACTCCAAGTCTCCTAACTCCCTTGGTGCTAGTTTAGTCGGTTTAATTTTTGTGATTTCAACTCAAATAAGGCAATAATCAAGAGGAAAATTGAAACTCTTTCTCTCTTTTTCTCATCTCAAGGTTCGGCCACTATGAAGAAAGAAATGAAGAAAATTTGGCTAAGAAAAAGATAAGAAGAAAGAAAATGATCTTGGTCAAACATGCTTGGATTGCCAACACTTGTCACCACCAATTTTCCTCTTGTTTTTTTTTTGGTTTCTTTCCTCTTATTTTTGGGTCAACAATTTCGACTAGTCTTAGAGTCAAATTAGGGAGAATTAAATTAAATAAAATCAATGAGATTAAGGTAAGAAAATATTGGTCAAGCGGTGTACTCAATCGATAACAAACAGCGCACGTCGGTTCAAATTTATTTTCCTTAACTCTATTGTACTTTTGTTTTAACTTTATGATTCATTAACTTATTATTAGTACTTCTAATCACATATTTTTTCATACATAATACTCACTCTTATCCACCAAATTTAGTACACATATCTCACCAAGTGATCACACGACTAAAGTGCACAAAAATCCTAATTTACTCTAACTATAAAAGTAAAAGTAAAACTTTCGATTCTATGATGTATTACAATTATTGAGAGTGTAAATTAATAGTAAAGAAATTATAAATTAACTTATTTAAAATAAAAAAGAATTATAAGAAAAATATAGGTGAATTTTCAAATCCTCACAGGCGATGGTGGTTCGGTCCCCTCTGAATCCCCCCTAAACCTTCTTAGGTCTATCCTTTCCCCCTAGTATAAGATAGATTAGAATATACTACAGTTGTCACCTCCAAAAAAAAAAAAAAAGTACTATAATTGCTTCAAACCACTCCTTTTTTGTCCTGTCTCTTGTATGGTGTAATCTCGTACCAAACTTTTTTTTTGTTTACCATAAAAGTAGTAAAAAAAAAAAACTCGGTATCTATTCTTATGATATGCTAGATCGAAAAATTTGTCGTTCTTGTTTGAGTAATTGTTTGACTTCAAAGAAAATCAAAGGAAAAGGAGATGGGAAATCTTTTTAGTACCAAAGAAATTCGAGGATGATTATTTTGTCAAAATTGTAGGCAAAAGGCCAAGAGGGCATTGAGTGTAGTGCATCAAGATGTGCGCTTTTTTATTTCGAGCAAACTGTCGGGTGTTGATGAGATTTGACTGGGGTAGTTTGCGATCTACTCACCAGTCAAATGGGTAATTAATGGATGTCATAAAATCCTCAACAACTTCTATATCAGCGATCACGCTTTTAAGATTTAATAAGAAGCCCAAAAGTGACTGATTCATTACGCTGCAATAAAGAGTGATTAATTCCTCCTCCACCCCTCTCGACATTGCCTCGTGGAGTAATTAACTAAGTAGATCCGTAAACTTAATTTGTTTGAAGGATATAGTAATAATGGCTCTCTGAGATCGCGTGGCAGTACATAAGGTGTCGAAAAATGTGCAGTGCAATAAAGAAAAGGAAGATTTGCAGTAGAGACCGAAAGCAAGGTCTGCGTAAAACTTGCCAATAATGGTCTCAATTTGAGTAGGCCTCAAGCTAACTTGTCCATCCAATTAATTTACCCCCCTAAACCATATACAGTGCATATATAGTAAAAAATCTTTTACTTTCATCACGCTAATATCTTGTTAGTTTAATATAGTAGAGCACATGATTTCCACATTCCCTTTTAGGTACTCCCTTTTTTCTAGTATCAAATTGTTTGGATTGTGATTTTTTGCAAAAAAAAAAAAAAAAAAAATTTTTACGTTTTCTGTAAACGCATTTTTCAATCGTCTTTTATCTCACGTACATCAAATCGTTACAATACATTTTTTTTATAAAAAAAAAAAATCCTATTGAATTATATTTGTGTGTCGAATTCATCATGAAAATACAAGGAAAGAAGTAGGGTATCATACTCATGCTCTGCACTTTAAGGTAATAGAAAAGTCTGAGTTGAGTTAGAAAAATTAAAGAAAAAGAGTACCAAATTCATGGGACAAAATAGTCACCTTCAAAAAATTTTTTTTTTTTTGTTTTTGCTTGATATACTTGATTAAGAGGATCCAAAACGTAGTCGGCATTAAGAGACTTGGTGTGGTTTCCTCAAAATAAAAAGGTGGGAAAATTTCAGAAACAGTAGTAATTAGCTGAAAATCAAGAGAGTGAATACGAAATATATATGCTGCATATTGGTGAGGTGCTCTACTTGTTCTCAT